GCTGCTCATTGTCGCGTCCTCGCTGAGTCTCAAGGCGGGCGGCGCACACCTTGGGGGGGGGGGGGGGGGCCGCCGCTGGGGTGGATGGGGCTCGGTTCCTCACAGGCAATTAAGCTAATTAAGCCCCAGCAGGACGCGTTCGCCTTCTGCCCCGGGAACGGGGGGCAAGCGGCCGGTGGGGGTCCCCGCTCGTCCCCCTCCGCGGGTCTCCGGACAGCGTGGTCCCAGGTAGGCAGCGCTGCCTGGGTCTTCCCGGCTCTGTGCACGGGAAGATGGAGGTCCGTGCACGTTTGGGAGCTGGAAACGGGCACCTCGCTCCTCGGCGGCCAGCTCGGACCCCTCTTGGCATCCGTGTCCGGGGTCCAAGCAGACCGACGTGGCAGGGGGGATGCGAGCCGGGGGAATAAGCCCCAGAAAAACCCCCATTTGCTTTTGGGGTGACTCGAGGGACGGAGGTGGATTGTGACTGCCCTGTCTCGGGGCGAGGAGCTTCCCCGTGTCCCTGGCACGGCCGGGCTCGTGGGCCTGGACCCCCGGTCCGGCCGCGGGGATGCGACAGCATCTGTTCCACACGGATCTTGCCCATTCGTGCCGCCGGCGTGGCTTTCTGCCGAAAACACGGCTTTCTTTTCGCTCCCCGTGCCCCAGAAGCAGCCGATTCAGGGGGGCGTTGGGGGCGGCTGCGACGCCGCGTCCGCTGGAGACATCCCTGGCCGACGGCCTTGAAGATGCTCAACGTGGGCTCCCGGCGCATCGGCACACGCTGCTGCGCCGAAAGGTGGTTTGGTGCGTTCGTCGGCAGGACGGGCGGCGTATTTCCACCTCCTTCGCCAACGAGCCTTTTGCGCGGCTTTCTCCTGGTTTGGAGGAAAGAGCGTGTGCGCGAGGCAGGGGCTGGGGTGGAGCACAAAACCACCCCGCCACGCTTTCCCTCTGTGTAACTCTTAATTAGCCGGAGAACCCGGCCACGAGGCCAGCGACGAGGCTCTGCCTGTTCGCAGCCAGCCCCTCCGGAGCAGAAATTAAGGAGCTGCTGAATTTCGCTCCCGTCCCGGGCGGGGAAGCGGCAGGATCAGGTCCCGGTGGCGTGTCGGAGCGGGGACGCGCCGCGTGAGCCTCGCTGCCCGACTTCCCCACCTCGGGGAGCTGTGGGGCGTCATTACCGGGCTTAAGACTTCTCTCTGCTCTTTAAATAGCCGCGGTCTCCTCCGCTCTTTAAGGTCAGGCGCCTGAAGTCCCTGACCGAAGCCGGGAGTCACTCGTTGCTGGGTGGCACGGCTCTTCGGCAACAAAAAATGACTTGCAAGTGGGTTAACGTGAGGACTTTCCCCCCCCCCCCCCCAAAAACACCCCAGCAGCCCCTGCCCTCCTGCCAGCGCCAGGCGAACAATGGCTTTGGGGTGGGCATAGGGCTTCTGCCCGCCGGTCCCCGCGGCCCGTCGACGTCCAGGCAGCCCCCGCGGTTCCCAGGAGAGGCAGACCAGTGCAAACCAGTCTAGATCTTCCTCCTCCGGCGGTAGGAGACGCAGAAGGAGCTGCGCATCGCCAGCGAGCGCCCGGCCGGCCGCGGGGACGTGACTTGTCCGCGGGTTTAGTCGCCGCTCTCTAACCTCTTGTATTGCCACGGTTTTAATCGCAGAAGGAGCCCTGGAGGAAAGCATTTCGAGAGCGGCCGTTCCCGAGCTGCACTGGTGGAAAAGAGGCGTGATCTTCCCCGCTGCGGGGTGCGCGGCTTTTATTTAGGAGGAAGGTCGGGGAGAAAACATCCCTTCGGGGTAGGTTATTCCATATCTCGCTCGCTGCTACAGATCTCGCACCCCAAAAGCGCCGTCGGTGCCGGACAAACCAGATCTGCCAGTCTGTGTTTTCCAGGAGATGAGTGGCACCGTTAATGATTACACTGTCCGGCACAGGGAGAGCTTGGGAGTGATTTGGAGCTGCTCACGGTCCTTGCCCGTCTTGCTGCACGCTCCGGCAGCATTCCCGGAAAAGCCGGGCGCCGCGCTGCGTGTGAACCGCATCTTCCTTGGTGGGGAATTCGGCTCCCGGCTCCGCTTTCCCCGTTGGACTCCCTCCACGCTCCCACGCCGTGGTTTTCTTGCAGGTGGGGAGGGGAAGGATGGCACACGCTTTTTAAGACAAAATTTTGGGGGAGGAAAGGGCTTTCGGTGTTGCAGGATTGCCGCTGATCCGGCCTAACTTCGCTGGTAGCGGTCACGATACTTAACATTTATGTAGGAGAGTGCGTGCGCCGAGTGCTTTGCAAACATTATCTAATTAAGATGTAAATACTTGCTCACCCCTTCCTCGCCTCCCGCCTTGGCTCCCGCAGCCCCTCCGTGCTCTTCCCCGGCTCTCGCCGGTCTCTGCCAGGCAGAGCGCTCCAGTCTCCATCCCTTTTTGGGTCTAATCCTGCTCGGGAGCTCCCACAGCCGCCTCCGGGAGTGGAGCCGGGGTTGTTTAGGGTCTCCCTTCCCCGGCTGCCCCCTTGTAGAGGCTGCCAGGGCCGTTTCGGGAGAGAGCGGTGCAGGAGGACCCCGGCCCAGCGAGCCGGGCAGGCGTCGCGACTGCGAAACCCAACAACTTTTGCGTAACCGACTGGCTGCCCGAAATCACAGCTGTCCCCGCGCTCGGGCTCCGTTCCTCCCTGTGGGGAATTGGCATTGCAAAAATTTGCAGCACACAGACAATTAGAAATGTGGGGAATGGAGTCTGCTGCGCCATTAAACAACCAGGGCTGCTGCGCTCGTCGTGTTAATTCCCCCCCCCCCCCCTCTTT